ATCTTTGGGATCTGCAAATGAAAAGCTCTGTAAGAGCCAGGTTTTACTATTTTCTCAGAACTATTGTACATCAGGCTGTCAAGACAGCAACCTCTTGACTTTATTTGCATTCAGTATATGAAGAAAGTGCTGTTTCTCAGCAATTCACTGTAGTTATGAGCGCACCTGATTCACTGAAATGTAATTCCCTTGTATGCCTCTAACTCAAGGACAACTAAATCTAGTCCAGCTTTTGGCAAGATACTGGGCAATGATGATCACCACCACCCACTCATCCACCCACACACACAATCCCTGATACGCAGGGATTACCCTAATTCCTTGAGCACTTCACCATCCACTTCTGCATTCCTTTCAGCCTCTGGCCTTCAGCATACCTCATGGGTTTGATCTCTCCCCTTCTTCAGCCGGATGTGAGCCAAACGGTTGAGTTTCTTCAGTGTCATGAAATGAACACAGCTCTGGATCCGCCGCTCTTCAATCTCGGCAGCCTGAAGGGCAAGAGTGGGCAGTCTGATGTGGATGAAGTTCCTTGCAAGCAGCTCGTGTGAGTAACTAGCTACTGCAGAGCTAGTTGGTTATTTAGAAGAACCTAAAGCAAGCAGGGAGCTACAGAGATGAATCTTACAGGAGAAACACTGGTAACAATAATCTCTTGAGCTTCTGCCAGAGCCCCCTCTCCTTTCCAATTCTCAATGTTCAGTCATTAGAAATAAATAGAGGTACTCCCCATTGTGTCCATTCCTTTGTCCATGATTCTCCATGTACGCAAGACAGAACTCAGTCCCACTAGAGGGCCCTGGGTGCTGCTTTAATGAGAGCTTTCACTAATTGAATCCCTAATTCAGAGACAGTTTTACACTCTGGTTCAATAAAAGAGGTTGGTCTAAGACGCCCTGAAAGTCAGATGCAGACACACAACCTTACACCAGTGTAAGTCACACTATTGTGGGGAAAAGTTATTCCTCACTTTCCAAGGCGTACCTGATGCAAGTTACAAGAGCTGTGTGTGTCTGTAGGCAGCTACACACGCTTCTCCAGTTCTCAATTTCACCCCAAGGTCGCATTTGCTCCGTTCAATTTGACCTGAGCCCCTTAGTGACTGACAGTGTAATCATATCTACTAACTTGGGAGAGCTGGTCATGTGTCCACTACTTAATAAGGTATAAATATCCTATGGAATAAAATCTGGGACTACTGACTCCATTGCAACTGCCTACAATCACAGATATCACTCAGTGACTTGTGCACCTCCTTTCTGTTGTCCTAAATATAGCAACAGCTGTTAACCTGACAAGAATCAGAACAGGCACAGCACGGGTAGTTACCACGTAAGGGGAGCACAAGCGGCCTGCAGCCTTCATACTCTTGCCTCTCTAGCCGCATTGCCACAAACAGAAGCAGTCAGCCACCTGGGATATTCCCTGTCTGGGAGGAACCAGAACAAAATTCACCTATTTGTTTTACACAGGAATTCAAAGAAGTATCAGAGTAGTAAACAGGGCTGGATTCATATGGTTAAAACTTTCTGTCCTAACCCCAATGAATTATTCAATCTTTCCACTTTAGTGTTTTGTTGTGAGCAAGCATTTCACCAGCATAGTACTCCAGAGGTCTCTCCTTACACTGTCTTTGCTGCCTTTACTCTTCAGATCCTGGATTTCTGCCATGAGCCTCTGAAGCTCCTCGCAAGTTTGCTTGTACAGTTCATAGTCTTTGCCAGGGTCTCTTAGATCCACCTCTGTCTCTTCACTATAGTACTTAACATCCTGTAAAACAGCAAGAAAATAGGTTTCAACTGGACTCCCTTCCCTTCTCAGAAAGAGTCCCACAGAAATCACATTGTGGGTCTTACTGTTTTGCCTCACTCAGTTCACTCCAGAATCCAAATGCTTTATGCACTAGTGACCCAACTGCTAGTGCTGCAAACTCCACGGGAGAACCAAGCCTGGCAAGTTCATGCTGCCTCACCCATAATCCCATTAAAATCAGTAACCAATCTGCACAGGTCCTAGGTAGGCAACCAAGCAGCTAGGGAAGAGGGGAGGGAAGGGAAGAGCAGCAAATAAAACATTTGTAAAGGGTTCAAAGATGCTTGCAAAAGAGATATGAAAGCAACAAACAGAGTCAAACAACTGTGAGAAGACTGCTGAGGACTGAACTACCTGGACACAGATTCACAATAGTTTAGGGCTGGAAGGAACCTGGTGAGATCACTGGGTCCTGCTCTGGGCAGGAATGACTGTTGGGCTCAAACCACCCCAGCAAGAAGCGCGTCCAGTCTCCTTTTGCAGGTAAAAGACACAGTCTGCCCAGCACAGAACAAAGGCTTTGGAGGGGAAGGGCGGACAAGCTGAAGATAGCAGGTGCGTCAGGAAGACCTGGCACTGCATCCAGGAGGGTTTTATACAAACTGAACTTTGCACGTGGTGGAAGTGGCTGTCACTCCAGAGCAAGGCCCTGCTGCGTCCAGCAAGCTGGTGCCTCGCTCCGCACAACCCCGTTGCTTTTCAAAACGGACAGATGCCTGCTACTACCCAGCGGTCAGGAGGCAAAGGCCGCTTCCAGCACCAGCTCCAGTGAGGCAGGCCCTGCCCCGCGGCAAAGGGCCGGTCGCCCCACACCCAGGCAAGCTCGGGCCGCTCCTCCCGGCTCAGGGGCCGCAAACAGGCCAGGCTGGCCTCACCCCACGGTACCTGCTCGGCGTCGGCTTTGCTGCGCTTGCCGTCGGGCGCGGCGCCGTCCGTGCGGATCACCTTGGGCTTCCGCTTCTTGCTCGAGTCCGACGACATCTGCGGGCGGGAGGAAGCGTCAGAGGCCGCCGCTCACCGAGCCCCGCCCCCACCTACCAGGCCCCACGAGAGTGGGGGCCCCGCGGCCGGCGGGGAAAGGCGGCACCGCAGCTCCCTCACCTACGTCCCGGCTACCGCTCCAACCGGAAGTGGTAGCGTAAGAGTGGACGAGGCGCACGCTAGAGCATCCGCCCGGGCCGCCGGCTGCGGAAGGAGGGTGCGCCCCCTGCTGGCCAGCGCAGACGCGGTCTCCCCTGGGGAGCGTCACCGCCCCTGACGCAATCGCCCGCGTCTCGGGCCAGGACCCTTCAGCGCGGGGTCCTAGCGCCGGACACAGACAGACGGCCACGAGCTCCCGCAGCCCCGCGCAGCGCTGGGGGAGGCCCGATGAACTGCCTCTGGTCACCCCCGTGCCCCCCCAAAGCGTGTGGGGCTGCTGGGCTCGCCCTGGCTTCGCTTCCGCCACCAGGGCCTCAGCTTGCCTGTCTGTGAAATGGGCCTAATGCCTCCGTCCACCGCAACCATGAGGCTTTCTCCCGTCAGTACGGCTGGGAGTGAAGGAAGGGGCAGGACACGGGCCCTTCCCACTCTCAGCCTGGCAGATGACCCAACTGGACAAGGCCTCCTCCCCCCACCTTGCCAGCTGCTGGCATCTTTGCACAGAAGCTGGGCTGAGGCATCTGGGGCAAACACTGCTGCCAGCTGGGCCACCATCTTCTCACCCTTGACACTGTAGTAGGGTCTGGTTGCCAGTTTTGCCTGTTTTCAAGGGGTTAGGCCAAGCTGCAGAACTGGGGCTAAACAGAACGCCCCAAACTCTGTTTTCTGTATGACTAATGTAAACCTTTTCAGCTATAACAACTAACTTGGTCAGCAAAGTAAAAGGAAGCCATCAACATCAATTAAACAAAGCATGAGGCCTGAAACAAGAGGTTATAAGGGAAGACCATAATTTAAATAATCCACATATAGTATCATAGCTTTATCTTAAAACAGTAGTAGTGATTGATGTAACCAAATGTATTAGATGCGATTTTGCAATAATAGATATATTTTTGTTAAGGTGCTTAGATAATTTGTAAAAACAAAACAGCGTTGTCAGAAGAGACTATAAGCTGAAGTAAAAAAAGAAACAGGATAGTGTTGAACACCATTCCATAATGGGGAAGGAAAGAGGTAAGATACCCCATCTTTTACTTTCCCAAGGACATGAATCCCAGTTGGTACTTACAAGTCCACAAGAGATCTGGTTCAGTTCCGTTCAAGTTTCAGTAAAACAAATTTAAAACCTAATCAAAGGTCATTTCTTGCCATATTAGCCATCTATAACTTTTTTTATTTTTAAGGAAAATTATTCGTGTCTGAGGTCAAATTAGCCAGATCAGGTTCAAATCCTTTTGACTCATCCAAGAACCATATGTGGCCCTGCTACTGGCAAGTATCCTCCACTCCAGCTTGGGGCTTCAGCTGCTTCCAAATCCTTTGGCAGGCATCCTACATGCAGGCCCAAGCCTGGACTTGGGGTTCAGATGCCCCCAAATTTAGTTTGCCCTCAGCCATATGGCTACAGGAGCAAGCTAGGCAGGAGTCCCCATTTCCATAAAGTTGTTGTGTAGCTGAGATCCTCCCACTGGAAGCTGGCCAGTGGGAAGCTAACTATGAAGTTCTCGTAGGGAGTCCCGTCTGCAACCAGACAAGGGTTCACCCTCCACTACACAAAATCATTTCTAAGGCACCTGCTTGGTCAGGGTACTGTCCCCTGCCACCTTTGTGGTCATGGTATTTCCCCTGCCAGGTAAGTAAATATGGGGGTCTAGGCTGGAGGGAAATATAGAGAACTCAGCACATCCAAGACCTGCTGCCAATCTGTGTGCTGCCCTCCCACCTCTTGAGTCACAGGTGACCAAATAGACTTTGGGTTAAATGTTTTTGTGTTTTGAAGTAAAAGCAAATAAAAGGTCAGCTGTAGACCTGTTTCTGTCTCTCTTATATCAGTAACCAACCTACAAGGTTACCTGTAATATGTGTAACACACTCTTGTGGAAAAGGCAGTCATGTTAGGGGCCTAAGAAGTTTGAGCTGATCTTGTTACTTCTTGGTAATAAAGCCAAGCCAAGTCTGGACTCTACCAGCTGCCATAACTGAACCTGTACAGCAAATTGATGAAGGCCTGAAAGACCCCACCCAACAGAGATATGAGACTCCTCCAAATGCAAGCCTGGTGTTAGCATATTAAATATTTAATTACATTTGCAATCAGACCTGTACAAGTTCCTTCCAGGAAAACGCTTGACACAAAATAAATGCCCGTGCTTTGCCACTTGCCCATTAGTTGCAATTACCATAAATGTGCTAGAGGAACTGACATCTGTCTGATAGGCCCCTCTTGAATGACAGCTGCCTCTCCATGTGTTCCAACTCCCCTTGCTCACTCACATAGACATATAAATGCCCAGGGAGCAAGGGCATTTGCTCCCAGTACCAGTGATTGCGCTAGGAGATACAGACACTCAAATTCACCTCCACTGCAGTCCAGTGGAAGATGCAGCACTGACAGGCATTCAGGGGCTTTCATTTCCAATGCAAATGAATTTTTTACTGCTTTGTGGTTGAATGCCATTAGTCCAAGCTACACAACTATTGTTACTACTTGCTATCAACACCACATGTTCCTTTCAGGTTCAGGCTTTGTCTTTTCCAGTCAGAGTCAGTTCTGCTGACACAGCCCAGCTTGTACCTTTCATTTCTACTGAGCTTATGCAGTTCTGGAAGGTAGGTGCTAATGTTAGCTAATCTCTGATCAACTGCATGGATGACACAAGGGGAAGAGGAACTTGGCTTCATTTTAACTCCTGAATTAAAGGCTTGATTCTGGTGGGTGTCTAGCACTCCCAGCTCCCCTTGAGCTCATAAAAAGGTGTGTTCAGCACCTTAGGAAGGCAGAAGGGGGAAAATTAAGTATTCCAGCACCCCCTCCATCTTAGTATCAGGCTGAGGCTGAGTAGCAGGATAGAAATATATGTACTGTTAAGGTCTGTCTATTAAGTCTAGGAGCCACTGCGAATGAGGGTTGGATATGGAATACAGCATTATTTCCAGAGAATCTTTTCAGCCTACACATGCTCTGTAGATGAGGGAGATAGCTCAGGGGGACGGATGGCCTCATCATTAGACAGGAGAGATTCCTTCTCCCCATACAAGCTTGCCCCTGCTTCCACCAGAGCAGAATGCCAGGGTATCTTGCTCAGGGGTGGGCTTCTTGCTTGCAGCAGGCTATCCAAGGGTAGAAGGTCATGGTGGCAGACACAGAGAGGAAGCATGGTAGAGGATCACTCCCAGAGGCAAGGAAGAGATTATTCCCTGTCTGTGATGGAAGGGGGTGGGGTGGAATGACTTGCTGGAGGGTTGGGCAAAAAGACTGAACCCAGTCTCTTCACCCAGAGAGCAGCTGGGTACCTGTATCATGCCTTCTGCAGATGGCATAGATCAGCTGTGTTAATTTCTATGTGCAAAAGTGGAATTTGAGCTCTGGAACATTCATCTGTTCACAGCTGGGGATCAACGTGAAGCCATATGCTAGCATGACCCACGGCTCCCAGCAGACAGAAGCAGCCCAAGGCCTGGACTACATTGCAGCTCTGCTGGAAGAGCCATGAGTGCATCCACACTCCTAGCTCTCCTGTGATGGCAGGAACCATTAGCTTTGCAAGCAAAGACAAGCAACTCCTACCACAGGAAAGTTGTCAGGAAGTGGGTGTAGATGTGTCTGCACTTTGTCATCTGCTGCAGCCCTGTTAACAACTGATCCTGCCCAGGGTGTCCTGCTGGGACAGCTGCTGCCATGAAGCTATATGCAGTCACATGAAGCTGCATGGGTGAGAACATGCTCTGGTGGCTGCTCTCTACCAGCAGAGTTTGTAATGCCAAGACCAGGCAGGCGTATGGGCTAAGGGGATGGGTAGTGCCAAGAGGAAGAGAGAAGCAGGCTCCTTCAGGAGAAGTGCAGAGAGATCCCAACAGGCCATGCGCTCTTGTCCATTTGTATCCAGTGCTGGAGGGAGAACACGCAGGGTCAGGGTGGAGGGTCACTGGAGGGGAGAGATCTTCAGGGGAATCATGATTCGAGACTCCATGTTCCGAACAAGGGGCACTGAAAAAAAAAAAAAAAAATCAATGTGCATGACAGTGCTGGGCACATGGCATTTTCTACCAACTACCCACAAGTAACTAGTGAGCTCAGAGATATTCCAGTCTGTCCCACTAGCAGGCACTGAAAAATTATTTATATGCGACACATACACTCTGGTTCTGCCAGGAGGAGATGAAGAGCAGTGCTGATTACAGAGGTGGTAGTGGCTGTCACATCAATTGAGCACCCGATCTCTGGCAAAGAGCAGTTAACACTTAACACTTCATAGGAAGGTATAAATTCTGAACCACAGAACTGCTTTCTGATCCTAGCTGGAAACTGGCTTTGGCCCAGGGATGCAAGAGTTAAAACTTGTGGCTACTCGGTGCCCAGCACCAGCTACTCAAAAGAACAAGGCCCACCTGTGTAATACACATTCTCATCCCAGCCCCGTTTCCTCCAAGCTGCATTCCTTGTCTCCTCCCGAGACTGCAGGTCCCTGTAGGCTGGAAAGAAAAAAGGGAAAAAGAAAATTAGAGAAAGAGCTTTTTTCCATGGAACTGCCCCAGAGCAAGTTCTCCCAAGAGCTGGACAGAGAGCAGCAATTATGTTTTGCAGAATTTAAAATCCTCTTCAAAGTAGAATTCCTCACTTGTACCCAGCTCTATTTACTGTGCACAACTCTGGGGATATGTAGCAGCACCCTGCCTCCAGAGTCACTTGTGGGTGACAAATCTATTTCAGACACACACAGTACTATAAGCATTAGCCTCTAATCCAGTGGGAGACCAGCCTTTTTGGCAGGCATGCTACAAGTTAACTCCACACCCTCCCCAAATGTCACTCTGATCCTTTTCCTGCACTCAGGCCAGGGAATAGAAAACAAAGCAGCAGACCAATCTGCAGCTCTGCTGCCTGCTTCCTCCCTAATCTATCATCCACCACACGCAGAGGCTGCCTGTGCCACTGGTTGGCCACCTATGTTCTAACCCAATGGGGTGAAGAGTAAAAAACCAGAATGGGGTGGAGATGGAGATAAGAGGAAAACAGTAAGTGAGAGGCAGAGACAATACAGGAGATTTAAGGTTAGGAACCAACTTCAGGCTCCCCTTTAAAATGAGCAGGGTCCTCAGATTATTACATGCGGAGCTCAACCAAGGCCAGGGGTGTGCAAAATATGGCCTGCGGGCTGGATCTGGTCCACCAGGCCATTCTATCCAGCCCATGGGACCCCTAAAAAATTTAGAAAGTATTTATCTGCTCATGGCCGCTTGTCAAATATGACAGGAGACAGGGGCAGTAGGACCCAGGGGGAGCTGGCAGCAGGAGACCAGCCCTGCCCCACCCCCTGGTCCAGCACCACCTGGCTCCTGGCTGCATTGTGGGACTGGGGTCTGTGCCAGTAAGGGGGGGGGGGCAGTGTTCATAGGGCAAGTCCCACATGCACACTCCACCACACACATACACCCACAACCCCCCACTTGCACTGCCATACACGCAGATCCCCACACCCCCTCACATACCCCAGCCACCCTCCTGCCCACAATCTCCCACAAACCCCATACCCCACATATCTACACCCACATGCTCCCACTCCACACCTCAGCTATTCATCCCCCAGAGACACACCCACACCCTTCCCCACGTACCCACAAACTTATACCCCCCACAATATACAAGAGTAAGACTTCATTTTAAGCTATTAAATACAATCACCTCTATGTACACTACAGAAATGCATGTAAACCAGGACAAAAATATTTTTTGAAATCAAATTAAATCAATGTTTTAGATGTTCACTTTTTAGAATATAATTTGGTATTTTTCTGGTTTTGAGATGGCAAAATCCCTTGCTGAAAGGAGTACTTCTGGAGGCAAGGGGAGGGACTTCTGGTGGCAAAGGTTAGGGAGTGGGACTTCCAGCCCCAAGACAGTGGCCAGGGGGCGGGGCACCTGTGAAGAGACAGAGCTACCCATGTGGCCTTCGGCAGCTTGCCAAAACTTGGTAAACAGCCCTCCACCTGAAATCATTGCCCACCCCTGACTAAGGCACTTTCCTGCCCTGGGATGCACCTACCATAGCAGGGTGGGGCACTGCTGCAGAGGGGGCTCACCATGAAGCTCTCATTAACACAAAGGAAGAAGTCAATGCAGAGGCTGCCTACCCCAGAGATGGTGCACCACGTAGAGCTCTCCGATTTGGGAGAAGAACCCACCCACAGCTTCCTGGTTCTCTTGACGGTACTTAATAGCTCGAGCCCTAGCGGAAACATTGGAGAAGAGCAGTCAGTCAGTGCGGCCTGGAGACACAGCTAGTAGTGCCAGAGGTTTGTCAGAGCTCCAGCAGAACCCCAGCTACCCAGCCTCCTGCTGCACCAGCTGCCTTTTTCAGTGACTACGGACTGTCCATTAACTGGATGTACCTGATGGCATCCACAGGAAATAAGCAGGGGCACCTGCACATGGCCATGGTCATCAGCAGAAACTGAACCTGTGAGCTCAGCATGACACAGGCCTTTCCCATCAGCTGATGGAGACAGGCAAGGTACTTAAGATACTGTAGTGATGACAGCCAAAGAAGCATCTAACAAGCCAGTGTAACTGATACAGTTGCAGCTTCCATTCCAGGTGGGGATTAACCAGGAGGGCACTTGTATCCAAAAGATGATACATGGAACTAAACTGGGGACAATGTAGGCATGAGAAGCTCACCAGTCCTTTGCAGAACAGAGTCCTGTGCCATTCACTGGCTATCGCTGTACTGTGAGGGTTCACCTCTTGACTATTCCCAAAGCCTTCCCTCAGCTTCAATAAGCAGAACAGGACTGCCTGGCATTTACAGGAGTTTCCTCAGTGCAGGGTCAGTGTGGTTCCTAAATGCCCCTAGAAGCAGCAGTCTAGGAAACCCCAGCTGCCACCCAGACCAGCAATGTGCCAGGCTCTTGAACTCCGACAACTCCTGACCCGAGGATGACCTCCCCCCCTCCCACCGTGACAGCTCTATCATTATCTCTGCCTCAGGCATGGAAAAATGCAAGACCAAGTCAGTTAATCTGGTCTTGGCAAGGTCGTACAGGTAGCCTATGCCAGACCCAGTGACTGCAGTTCTCCCAAGTCACTGGGGCATCTAAAAGTTCCCTAGCATTGGCCTTCAAATTGCCACTGATCTTCAGTGCCACTCTGTTTCCAGCTTGTTGCATCCCACAGAAGCTGAAAGCATGTTACCACTGGGACATAACTGGCCAAACTTCGCTTGGAACAGCACTCAAATAAAAGTGGAATATCCATTAAGGGGGTAATTGTCAAGAATGAAGCTTGATGCCAAGGAGATGACAGCAGTCCTTTGCCTTCCAAGAGCTTACAGCCGCACTTCTTTGCTCCTTCCTGTCTATCAGGCCGGAAAGTGAGCACAGCAAGATGCTACGACCTGTTCCCTCAGTGAGGCTGGACATGCCTCCAGCCAGCAGACTTACTCCAGTGGACATGACTCTAGCCAGCAGACTTACTCACCCATCTCAGGAATATTGGGTTTCCAAATACTAAAGGTGTTTTTTTGTGCCTCTCAGGTTTTCAAATCTTCCTGCATTTTGGAACATGGTCCTTAGCCCTGCTTGGAACAGGAATATGCCTAACATAAGCTGGGGCAAGTCCTGTCACTAAGCCAGGGGCCAGTTTGCTTTCTCCTCCAGTGCCCTGGGACTATGTGCTGGGCTGGAAACTGAGGTAGGATGCCTTACTACAAGCATGCAAATTGTATAACATTGGAATCCTGATCTGTTTGCAACATTCAGGCACAACCACAATACCAATCAGCAAGGAAGGCTCTGCCAGGACTGGGACTCTGGTCTCCTGGCCTTAAGTCCACTGCTGTAACCACCAGGGCAACATAACCCCAGCCATGGTCTGCATTCTTAACCCCAGCTTTGAACTTGATTTCCTAGATGGTGTGGGATCTTTTCTATGCCCCCTGGATGCAAAGAGTCTGCTCTGCTACTTACCAGTTATTTCCCCACTCAATCATGGTCCCTGGCTGGAAACAAACAGAAGACATGAAAACCCAGGTCACAATTGCCTTCAATGCCAAGTCACAGCTCAAAGTCTCCCACATGCTCCCTGCTGCCCTCCGAGATCAGAAAGGAACTGGCCTCACTGGGCACCAGGGCACAAGTGACTCACTGTACTGCCAAGGTCACTCATTCCCTTGAAATCACCAGGGACTGCTGCTGGAGGAGACGGGAGACCTGACCTAGCAGAACCCACCCTTGCTCCTCAGCCTCCCCCTTAATTAGAACTTTCTATGCGAATTCAGGGGCTGAAGGTCTGCTACCAAAGCTTCTCTGGTTCTCCCCAAGAGCAAATCCCACATCTTCCAGAGGATGTCAGGCCTGGTCTGTGTGAGGCAGAGACTTTGAGAAGCAGAGGGGCCAAGACTTTGGGAAGATGGAGTAAAACACCAATCTGCTAGAGGGGAAGCAGAAAAGGGAGTGGTTCACCTTTAGCTTGTAGGTTCTCAGCTCGTAGATGTTGGGCCCTGCCCGTGGCAGAGGCTCATTCCAGAAGCTGAATTCCAGGAGGAGCTGGTTCCGTCGAGACAACAACATTTTACTCCTCTCCTTCCGGAACTCCAGGTATTCCTGCAAAGAGTAGCAGCTGATGGAGTCACGCTGGTAACTTCTGGGAATACAAGTCCCACCCACAGCCACCACAGACACCCTCAGTGGCTGTGTGCCACTCCTTGTGTGCCGCTGGGGGCAGGTGAGATGCTGAGCACCTGCAGGGGCAGAGGGTCAGTCAGCCAAATAGAGTCAATGACAGGCTACTCCAAGGTAGGAAGATTAAGGTCACTAACTAGGGAGTCAGAACATCTGTGTGTAGCCATTGGGATGGGAACGACAGGGCAAAACTGCAGCCAGCTTGCTCCAGTGGAGTTCCAGCTCAGAGCAGCGTGGATGTGCACACTACCTTGTTTTGCTTCAGCTTATTCATGCAGTCCGAGAGGGCCGGGTACCCACCAGAGAAACGCCACAGGTGCACTGCAACGAGACAGCGAGACCTGGATGGGGAGGGGCTTGTGGCTTTTTTCCCCCCCAATCACACTCCCAACAGCCCATGTGACATATCATGTCTACCACCCCCACCCCCATGTGGCCGGACCAGCAACGTCAAGGGAAGTCAGTGAAGACAGAGAGAAGCCCATCCAGGAGACCTCCAAACCCAAAGCTTCTCTTCCTGGACTAGTCCAGAAAGTCATTGCAGCTCTGAGCATTGCTACAAGCCACTCAGCCAATTTCCCTGTCCTTGGGGCTTTCCCAACCCTCC